GCATTTCTTTTTGTAAGATGTTCATTCAGATATACTCCACTTCCTTTCAAAAGGCTGGACCGTCTCAGCAATTCTACTTTGTGTTTTCGATTAACAAATCTCACTACAATTGCTGGAGGAGCATTATTGTGCCTTCTAGGAAGAGTGTAGCATGCAGATATATTGTTACTATGCAGGGGAAGATTTTTACTCGAAAAGAATTCCACAACCTGCCGTTGATGATCTGTTTGCTTACAGGAGTATGGAGTGATGTTAAGCTGGATCAGTCATCCTCTGAGCTGAAAAGAACCGGAGAGACAGTAAAGATGTCATGTATCGTATCTGGTTATACCATGACAAGCGGATATTTCAGCTGGATACGACAGAGGGCCGGGAAAGCTCTGGAGTGGATTGGTAGAATGAATTCAGGTTCAAACTCTGCTAGCTATAGCAGCTCCTTTCAAAGTCGTTTCCTCATGACTGAAGACGTTCCCAGCAGCACTCAGTACCTCGAGATCAAGAGCCTGACAGCAGAAGATTCTGCTGTTTACTTCTGTGCCCGACAAAGCACAGTGAGTGAAACCAGAGGAGCAGGTGCACAAAAACCTCACTGATTTCAAGCATCATGGCAAGTTGAGCATTTAAGACTGATTTTACGCAAAGTCACAATGTGATGTAATATGAGAAGACATGAGGGTTTTGTTTTGTTTTTTTTGTTTTTTTTTATCACACAGACAAATGATGAAGTGCAGAAAACGTGAACACATAGTTGATCACTGTAAATAAACTGAAACAAGTCACGCAAAGGACTAGTGGTTTGAAGAGTCCCCCACCCACCAAGTTTGTATTTTCCAGCATTGTGCCACGCCTTTTTCATAGATTAAAGTTATTAATAAAAATAAAAAAACATTTACCTGCACATCCTCTACAATAGCTATTACAACACGCCCTGTATGCTATCAGCCTTCCAGATGCCCAGTTTTGATCAGTTTTCATCTGTTTCTCCTTACTGATTATTTATTGTAAGCACCTCTCCACGGAGTCAGACATTTTTTATTTCTTTAGTAATTCATTCTATTCATATTTGTAGCTTAAAACTAAATTTTAATACCACAACCTTTAAATGTGTCATATAAACCAACCCTACAACTCCCAGAACAATCTTTACCTTACTTGTCTTATACTAAATAATAATAATAATAAATAATAATAATAATAATAATCAGACTAATATATTAATATGAAAAAATATAAAATAAATAATATAATAATATTATATATATTATTTTAATCATAATATACTAATGATGATAAATACATACACAAACAGATTTTTGTAAAAAGAAAGAAAAAAAGAAAGAAAGACAAGTGACTTTAACAAATATAGTGATATATCTATATAGTATCTTTCTAACATTTACTGAATGAAATACATTTATAGCTTCAATCTAACAGTATAAGGCAATTAAATTGCCCAGGTTCAATACATAATGACTAAATGGCAAAGTTCATTGCAGCAGGTGAGGAGGAGTCAATGCAAACTCAGATGTTTTTCATTTCTACTTATAGCAGAGGGGATGACAGAGAGCAGTGGACTCACAGTTTAACAGTATGGACTTCAGGGCACAACTGCTGCTTTTAACTCTCTGTTGGACAGGTTTGTTTATTTATTTATTTTACTAAGATGTTTTGACTTCATTAATTTACCAGTTTATAGCATGACAACTTTCCTTTCTTTTGTTAGGTATTTATGGTCAGACTCTAACTGAGTCTGAACCAGCAGTTATAAGTCCTGGAGATTCCCACAGGCTGACCTGCACAGCCTCTGGATTGACATTCAGCAACTCCTGGATGAGCTGGATCAGACAGGCTCCTGGAAAAGGACTGGAGTGGGTTGCCACTATCAGATATGACAGTGGTGAGATCTATCACTGTCAGTCAGTTAGAGGCCAGTTTACCATCTCCAGAGACAACAACAGACAGCAGCTGTATCTGCAGATGAACAGTCTGAAGACTGAAGATTCTGCTGTTTACTATTGTGCTGGAGCCTCACAGTGACTGGAGGTGCTTGAAGAGCCATACAAAATCCTTCAGAATGCATGTTTGTAAAACACAAAAATAAAAATGATTTTTACTAAGCAGACAATGACTTTATACCAATGTGTTTACCAAAATCATGGTCTATGTATCACTAACAGAAATAATGATGCACAATGATGATTTTTCAACAACAAGTTTTATCCTTTTTCTTTGCATTAAGCTGTGGATTTAAATTTTCAGAAGAAATCAAACATGAAAAACAACAATGAGCTCTTAGCTTAGTCCTGCAGTCATATTCTAGTACAAATTCAAATATCGACAACTCCAACCAATTACAAACGTTGCCACTATCAGAGATGTGTGAGCTGTCCTTGTCTTGTGTGTTTTTCTTTTTTTGTTTTTCAAATCTATTACATCGAAGTGCTTCTTACACTCGGATCACATAATTCCAAAACTGAAAAGGAAAAAAAATGAAAGCAGGTTTTATTTCAACACTTTTCCTTTTTTTTTAATGGTATGGCATTTTTTTATGGTATTAAACAATTGAATACAATATATTGCACAATTATATACAATAATATGATACAGTTCAAGTTGTAACATTATGCATTTATAACTGAAGCTGATCACAATGTAAAAAAAAAAATGTAAAGGATATGCAAATAATAGTATCTTAAAGGAGTGTGATAAATGTGTCAGTAAGAGATAGCCAAGCTCACATCATTTCAGTTTATACTGCAGTCATGTTAGCTCTGATACTGCTGCTGGCTGCTGGATCATGTGAGGAGTTTTTAGTGGATTGAAATAAAAAACAAACAAAAAAACATTCAAAATGAAGAACAATCAGATAAATAATGGTTTACTGTTGATTTCTGTTTCCACAGGTGTGTACAGTATTGATCTCATCCAGCCAGACTCAAGGATGGTGCAGCCTGGACAGTCTTTGACTGTCACCTGTCAGGTCTCTGGTTATTCTTTAACTGATGACAGCTATGCAACAGGTTGGATCAGACAGCGTGAAGGAAAAGCAATGGATTGGATTTTTCATCAGTGGGGTACTAGTGGTCTTCGGCAAAATGATGCTTTAAAGGACAAGTTCAGCTACAGCAGAGACACTTCTGCCAGAACAGCAACAATAACAGGACAGAATCTGCAGACGGAGGACACAGCTGTTTATTACTGTGTGCGATACCGCACAGTGGTACAAAATATTGACAGACCTGTGCGAAAACTCAGACACCTGCAAAACAAAAATGATGGAAATATAAAAATGAACAATTTCATGCTCACTTCTCGCATGAAAAAAATCCATTAAGAAAATAAATGCATTTCCATAACACTAAAGCTATGTCTTTATGTGTGAGAACCACCAACCCATGTCAGAGTTTAAAATAGATTACAATAAATAGTTAAACATAAAACACAGCAATTAAAACGTATTAAAGAAAAAAAAATCTAAGGTTGCCAGTTCAGCTAATGGAGTAAACAGGTGATCAGTAAACAGGTGATTTGACCGTGTGTCTTCATGAACTCTCCCTGCTTTCCTGTCTGCTGTCCATCTAAAAAAAGGCATAAATAATGTTAGTTTAAAAATTACAAATACACATCTAATTGGTAACATTAACCTGTTAGCAGTCGGACGTACCGCCCACGGTACATTGGATGGTTTAGGGGACTAATTGGACTGCTAAGGGGTTAAAACCTTGAGATATATTTTTTAAAACAAATTTATATATGGAAAGTCAGGAAAAGATTAAAAAAATGACATCAACATGAACATCCTTAGAAAACAACCTGTTACAGTTTTTCTGAATTGCTAAAACACATTTCCTAAAATCTCATCTCTTTGTCTCCAAACACTAAACACAAACTCTAAAATTCAAGCTACTCTTCTAGCATCTTTCTATAGTGATGGTCTGGTGACTGGCCTTGTTTTCTGGTTTCCTTTCTTTTAGGTAATTAGTGGGTGGAGCTCACACCCACACCTGAGCAGGCCAGGATCAGGTGCACAATAAAGCAGATTTTCCAGAGCATCTGGTGGTTCCTGTCCTTCATGTATGCTTGGCTATGAAAGCATTTAGTTTTTGTGTTTTGCACATGCTCACTCTTGCATCCTCTGTGCATTCAGTCATTGCAAGCATGCTATTTTTAGTTTCTTTATGTTATTACACTAAATAATAATAATAATGGATTGGATTTATATAGCGCTTTTCAAGGCACCCAAAGTGCTTTACAATGCCGCTATTCATTCACTCTCACATTCATATACTGGTGGAGGCAAGCTACGGTTGTAGCCACAGCTGCCCTGGGGCAGACTGACAGAAGCGAGGCTGCCATATCGCGCCATCGGCCCCTCTGGCCATCACCAGTAGGCAGTAGGGT